TTGATAGTGTTAGAAGGTATAAATCTATAAGGTTTACATAAATATTCTAAGCCATAACGATGTAGAAGCTGCTTTGCTGCCTTTGTTGTTACAACAGTAAGGATAAAAATGCTGTATTATTTCACCTTTGAAAATAGAAGATAAACTGTTAAGCATTAAGCATAAATTTAATGCTTTTAATTCTAAAATAATGAAATATAGCCTTTAAACCAATTTGGCAATGTCTAGGTGATCATGGATTCAGTGACAAGTAGAAAACAAAACAAAGCACGAAAACAACAAATAACATGGAATTTATGTTTGAAAACAAACACTTCCGGTGCCGTCCTGTTTGTTTGCCTGTAAGAATAAAAATATTTGGAGAGGAAACTGATTCAGTTTGTCTGTTGCAAACCCTACCAATCATATCTGCAGCATCCTCCTCATCTCCAAAGCAGTCATGCTGGAAGCAGAACACATCTTCACGCAGCACAGACTTGTCACCGCTGGCACTGGCCGAGTTGTGATCAGCCACCAGACTGTTACTGCTCGTCAGGAAGCTGCCCTCAAAGAAGCTTTGTCTTCTCAGTGCATCTGCTTCTTCCTCTGAGGAAACACACAGCTTCTGATGCCTCATCTGCATGAGTTTGGGAAACCCAGATTCATCCACTTCCTAGTTTTTTCAAATAACTTTTAAAAGATTGCGAGACACCCCATACCTCAGTTGGGATAAACAATTCTGCTAGTTCAGTAAAAGCAGAGAATGCTTAGTTTTGATTCTCAGTCTCTGGTATCAGATTATATTGCTTACATAAAATTTTAAGCCCAAGATGGTATGACAGAATATTTCTAATTTCTCAGCTTCTCTCACCAAAGTTCCTGACACAGAGAGGTATACTGCTTTCATAATCCTCTGTAAGTGTGATGTCTTCAGCTCTGCTCTGATTCAAGGTAAAATGTTCAGCAACATCAATGGCACTGATGAAAAAAAAAAATTATAAAAATAGAGGGTGAACTGAAACACATTGAACATTCAGCTGGAATGTGAAAATTGTTTCTAAACAGCCTTCAATCCTGGAATTTTGTCACAAACCCCTGTATTTCTCCACTCTCTTTTGCCAGTAAACTTGGACTCATTCGATTTTGTTCCTGAAACATCTTTTAAACCGAATGGCACAACTCTTTGGGCTGGCAGAAAAGGCACCTTTACAGAACACACTTAGCACACCAAGGCCCTTGAATAAATGGTATTACACTGCAGCTGTACTTACAGAGTAATAAACCCTCACTGATCCCATCAAACCGTATTTATGGGGAGGTGCAGAGGAAGCCTCGGTGGAAATCTGTTATCCTGGACCTTCAGGGCATCAGAGCCATCAGAAACATAACTTGGCCTCCTGCTTTATTATTTTTTTTTTTTTTCAGTTTTCTACATTAATGTTGATTTGTGTCAGAAAAGCCAAAGAAATAGGCTGGCTTTTCCTCGGGAGCAAGGCTGACTCCTGCTGATAAAACACCCCAGAGAGCAGTGGCACAGAAATGAAATGAAGCCGCGCAGTGGAACGGTACAACAGTGGGGTTACTGGCCAGAGCTTCCACGACTGGTACTCGCTTTTATCTCTTCTCTTGAGATCAGAAAGCTGTTTGCATCCTTCACTCAGACAACTTAAAATCCTGAAGTCTAAGTTCAAGGCATTAATTCATTGTGAAGGTCTGTTGATGAAAGGGCTGAGGAAAACTACCAAAGCACAAAGACTGTACCTGTAGCTTTGTAAAGGTCAGAATTCAGGAGAATTCGGTTATCAAATCAAAACAACCCCATCTGAGTCTTTGATCAGATAGCAGCCAGGAGAGCTTTTGCTTCTGAAAACACTAAAAGAAGGAATAAAAACTAGGGAAGCATTTACTTTACATCTGGTAGTGGTGTTTCAAAATCATGAAATTCTTCAGGTAATGTAATGGACTGATAAGCAGCCTCAAAGTTCTCTTCTGGAAGGTCAAGAAGCCCTGAAAGAAAGAGGCAACATAACGAAATAAGTATCAATAAAATAAAAGTAGTCTTCTCCCAAGTAGGTATAATCAGCCTATAAACCTGTCAGGAGGGGCTGCTGCCATTCTAAATCACAGCAAGGTAAAGCTTAGGCACTCCAAAGTGCAATTTTATTTTCCACATCTTTTAGAAGATCTGTTTTTCCCAGGCAGATAGAGAAGAGCCTGCTGCAACAGGACCTGAAATATGTAAGTACTTGTGTTTCTGAGCAGTTGCTTTAAGTCCCTGGAAGGTTCTCCCAGCTGACATTTAGCCCAGAGTCTTTCGTAGCACTGCAAATGAATCACTGTGGTTTCCTTTTCTCTCCTGTGTCTCCAGCATCAAATAATTATGTACTGAGACTGCAAGAACTGGGGAATCAAGAGAATCTTGGAACAATTTGGGTGAGAGGGGATTTGTGAAGGTCGCCTAACCCAACCTTTTGCTCAGAACAGGGTTCATTTCAAAGTCAGATCACTTTTGACTGTTTCTGCTGATGGAGATCCCACAGGATCCCTGGACAGCCTGTTTCAGCATTTTACCACTTCCACTGAGATTTTCTGCCCCCCTTCTATCTAGTTTGAGTCTCTGTTGCTGCAGTGACTCTTGTCCTTTTATTCTGCTGCGTGGTACCCTGCAAGCTGCTATACGTATCTATCCAAAATAGCCTCAAGTTGTGCCAAGGGGCTTTCAATTGGATATTAAGGAAAGTTTCTTCACTGAATGGGTTGTCAAGCCCTGGCACAGGTTTCCCAGGGCAGTGGTGGAGTCATCATCCCTGGAGGCATTTAAAACACGGGCAGATGTTGCCCTTGGGGACATATTTTAGTGGTGGCCTTGGCAGTGCAGGGGGAACGGTTGGACTCGATCTTTGGAGGGCTTTTCCAACCTAAACGGTTCTGTGAGTGTATGATTCCATAATCATATCTTTGATAATAATGCAGAGTAATTTTTCTCTATTCTACAAACAGACCAGGTCACAAAGCACATTAGAGCTGGCAACAGACATTGGTGTCCCCATTCTCAGCCTTTGTTTAGACAACAGTGCCTCCCATTTGTTGCCTAAGTACAACAAACATAGAGCCAGTTGGATAAGGGTCCAGTCCTCTCAGCTCCCTTCTCCCTGGCTACATGGCCAGAGCTCAAAACATGCTGTCAGGTCTGGCACTGACACTGTTAGACATGCTGTTTGGTGTCATCAGAAATTAAAATTAATTATCCAGCAATGGAGGCTGAATTCAGGCATCTCCTTGTAAGGCCACTTAAGACACTGCTTCTGTTAAGGGAGTCAAAAACTTGAAATAGCATTAAATTAAGCCAGACTAAACACCAGTGGTAGGCACAAGTATGTTCAGTTTCCTTTGGGATCAATAACGTGTATTTAACAATATCCGAAAATTAACTTTTAAAATGAGAGCTGTAAAGGGTACAGCTGGGAAAGAGCTGAATTTTGAACACACCTGGGCGAAAGGCCGTCTTCATCTTGGTCAGAGCTTCACTGCAGTCTGCCAAGAGGTACTTGGCTTTCCTGTGGTAAATCCTCACCACTCCCAGGAGTAAGTGCCCAGAGGTTCGCAGAGCTATAGCAAACTTAAGGGTTAAAAAAAAAAAAAAAAGGTTGTTCAGGAGTTAGGATTTATTTTTTTTTTTTTTTACAGTTACAGTAGTAACAGAGTTCCCTATGAGAGATGAGCACCTCCACCCCAGGGCTTTCCAGGAGGCTGCTCCTCATGGCACAGCCTACCTTTGGGGAGATGATTTTTTGCACGGTGGCCTCCAAATTGCACTCAAAGATATGTGCCTTGGTGAGCTTCTTCTCCCAGTGGGCAGCCAGCCAGATTTTGGCCAGCGGCCCCCGCTTGCTGATGAGCAAATGGACGTAGAACATGGTGCCCAGGCAAGGGTTGCAGGGCAGCCCTGCTGAAATTCCGCTTGGGAAATTCTCCCTCCGACGGGAAACGGGTCCTGGGACACCAAGTGGGACTAGGGATTTAGTGGGATCTGAGGGGATGGGGGACCAAGTTGGGTGCTATGGGGAGGGGAGGATTTACTGGGATCTGAGGGGATGTGGTACCCAGGTAGGTATTGAGGGGATGGAGGAATTTAGTGGGATCATGAGGGGACAGGGGGATTTAGTGGGATCCTGAGGGGATAGGGGCACCCAGCTGGGTGTTAAGAGGACGAGTGAACCCTGAGAGCACTGAGGGAATGAAAGGATTTGGTGGGACCCTGAGGGGAAGGGGGGGAAATTAGTGGTGCCTGAGGGGAGGGGGGCTTGGAATCCAACCAGGCCGTCAGGGGATGGGAGGATTTAGCAGGACCTGAGGGGATGGAGTGACCCAGACGGGCGCTGAGGGGATGAGGAGATTTAGTGGGATCTGAGGGGACAGGGGGGTCGGACAGTGCCGTGGTGGGGTGAGGGTGGGGTTGGGTTTAGCTGGATCCTGAAGGATGGAGGGGCCCAGCCGGGCACTGAGGAGCTCTGAGGGGGCCCAGCTCGGCACTGCGGGGATCGGGCGGGATTAGCGGGCGCTGAGGGGGCTCGGCGGGGCGGGCGGACCCTCCTCAGGCCGCGGCTCAGCCGAGGGCGGGAAGGCTCCGCCGGGGGGTCCCGGCACCGTCCTGGGAGCCGACGGTTCGCGGCAGCTCCGGCCGCGGCCCTGCAGGGCCCGTGTGCCCCTCTCCACGGCCCTGCCCAGCTCCGGAGCCCCCAGGCGGGGCCCTGCCGCTGGAAAAAACTCCCCGTTCCTTCCCGGGGCTCACCGGGAGCTCACCCACACATCCCCAGGAGCGCGGTGCTGCGCCCCGCATTTCAGGTTCCTAACAGAGGAGAGCAATCTCACTCTCCTCCTTCTCCTTTCTCTCCTGTCCTCCTTCCCCTCCTCTCCCTCTCTTTCCCCTCCTCTCCTTCTCCTTCTCCTTCCCTCCTCCCAGCCCTTTTCACCCTTGACATTCTAAGAGCCTGCTTGCAGGCACCACCCCATCCATCTCTTTCTCTGCAGGTGAGCAGCTCCTGCGTGGCTCCAGGCACGTCTGATAAAACTCCCTTGTGAAGCAAATTTGCAGAAGAAAAAGAAAAAAAACCAAGAAAAACAAACAAATAAACAAATAAACAAACAAACACAAAAGGTCCCCCAAAGCCCAGCTCTTCGGAGGAGGAAGGGGAAAGGTTCACAGCCACCCACCTGCACCAGCCCCAGCCACCACCAAGAGCAGAAGGCAGTATGTTTGCACACTTCAGTGTCACCAGCCAGGAAAAAAATTAGTTTGTCACCCTCTGCTTCGTGCTTTCCATGCATTATATTCAGGCAGAGCACAGCAAGGCTCTCGCTGCTCCCAGGCACAGCCCAGTGCATCAGCTGTTGCTGTATCACAAGGCACCTGTGGTTCTCCCTGTCTCCCTGGTGTTAGCTGAAGATAACGAGATCTTAATTATCACCAGGAAAGCGCTGAGCCTCTTCCCAGTCCAGCTCTGCAGTTGGTCATAGTGGGAAGTAAGGCTCTTGTTTCTCCATCTGCCTTTGGGCAGAGTGGGAACCCTGGACTAAGGCTCAGACTTTAGGGAAAGGAGAGGGATTTTTGCTACAAACCACTCTTGGAATGATGTATCCCCAACAGGGACATGGAGGAACCTCACACGAGCCCCAGAGAAGGTGTTCACTGCCCCTGCCAAGGCACCAAACCTGCTCGGGCGCTCCACACCCTGTGAGAGAGAAATCGCCCTCACTGGTGCCCACTGTGCAGCTCCAGCCCTCCCCAGTGCCGAGGCTGACGTCCAACCCTGCCTGCCTCAGCAGTGGCAACAGCTCCTGGGGGCAGTTTCCAGGATCAGAACCCCCCGACCCTGTGGGGAGCACTGGGGTGCTGTGTCTGTGTCACACGGGGACCAGCAGTGACAGGCAGAGAGGCTGGGATGTGCCAGGCACCGCTGGCCCTCCCAAACTGCTGGATCTCTCAACGGTGTGGAGGCAGCTCCCAAATTGCCCAGCTGCTTCTTCCCTGACCTCCGAGTCACCTTGAGCCATGCTGGCTGCGGGCGCTCGCTCTGCCATGGGATGCTCTGAATGCTAAGGAGGCAGGAATGAAGCTTCACCTCAGTGGTGGGGCTGGATGGGGGTCAGCGCTGCCAGTGGGCACCAGACAGCTGTGCACGCCCCAAAATCGGGCTGTGCTGCACAGGGGTGTGCTGGATGGCAGAGCTAGGTACACAGCCCACCCAGCTTCATCATGTTCCTGCTCCTACTGTCCTCCTCTGCTTGCCTGAGGCTCCTGTTTGCTGTCTGTCTCATCCACATTAATTTCTTCTGAGCAGTGACATGTGCCCATCCCTGGCAGCCCTGTCTGGCTCCCTCACCTTGCTCCATGTCCCAGACTGCCACCTCCCTCCTCTTTCCCTTTCTTTCCAAGCCCTCTGTCTCTCCCCTCCAGCACTCCTGCAGTTTCATTGTGAATTTTGGCAGTGCTCTCTCTGACCTTGGCTGTCTCCCTCCTCTCTTTGCTCCTGTGCTGGCAGCATAAATCTTGGCTGTCTCTGTCTCCTCCCCTTCCCTCAGTGCCAGCGCCTTAGGGACCGAGTGGCCTTTGCCAGCCCTCAGCCTCAGGCTCAGCCCCTCAGGATCAGGCTAGGGAAGGTTTTTGGGCTACCCTGGGGCCCTTCAAAGGCCTGGGGTCACCTCCCAGCTCCCATCCAGCAGTGGCAGTGGGATCCCGGGGCTGCACAGAGCCAGCAACAATGCTGGCAGGATGCGTCCCTGCACCTCACCCATTGCAGGTGGCCTCCTGAGCACTGCTGGGGGATTGGGGTGCAGGAGCAGCCCCCACAGGCAGCATGGAGCCCTGACCCCATGGCAGGCTCAGCCCTGTCGCTGTAGGAAGGCATGAGTAGCTCTGCTTCTGTCCCTCAGACTCCCATTCTGGCAGGGCTCCCAGCCTTTGCATCCCTGGCTGCATCCTCAGCCGCAGGGCTTGGGTGCTCCAGGATGGAGGGCTTGACCAGGGCTCTGTTCAGGAGCAAACTGGCGGTGGTTCTGTCTTCCCATGGAATTTGGCAGTGGTGAGACAGCAGATCTCCTCCTGCCCGTCTGTTCACAGCAATGTGCCCGCCTGCTCCAGATCCATCTTTTCCTGCTGATTCGGGACAATCTGTGTCCCATGACCTACTTGTCTCCAAGCATCTCCCGCCTTCCTGCAGAGTGGGTTGATACTAAAGCCTCTCTAAATGTGGTTAACGTGTCAGGATGCACTTACATTTATTTTTAATTCTGCTTTTTTCTCGGCCCACTTTTGGCTGAGTCCCCAGGGACATTGTGCTGGGAAGCTTCTGTGTTTCATAGAGTCACGGAATGGTTTGAGTTGGAGGAGACCTTACAGATCATCTCATTCCAAGCCTCTTGCCATCGGCAGAGGACACCTTCCTCTAGACCAGGCTGCTCCCAGCACCCTCCAGCCTGACCTTCAACACTGAGGAGACAGGAGTAGAGAGCAGGTGGGTCACAGCACACAAAACTTCCACTGCAAACTTAAAAACCCAATAAAATAATGTGTATCCATGCCTCTGAGATGGGAAAAAGTGAGACTATAAACCATCCTTAGAGTCATGTTCTCCTAGCCCACCTTGCAGTCCTGTTCCCTGCTGCACCTTGGGGAGTGGATGTGCCAGTCTGGTGGATGCTGGTCAGCATCATGGATAGGCACTGTGCCTGGATGGGTGCTGAGCGTGGATGGGTGCTGAGCCTGGATGGGTGCTGAGCCTGCCTAGCCCTCAGAAAACACAGATGCATCTCTTTATCTGTGCGGCACTCCTTAAACTCTCTGACCCTTTTCAGTCCCTTTTAGCTGCATCTGACAGAGACTCCAGAGAAAATCCCTGCCCCTGTCATGGCACAGGTGGCAGGAGACTCCCATCTGACATCCCCACACAGGGCAACGTTCTCCAACTGTGACTGGCAGGGAGCCCAGTGTGGCTGCAGAGGAACACTCTGAGGGGGGACAGGGTTCAGGACATGGGCGGGACAGGGTGCAGGGCACAGGGGGCCCAGGGCACTGGCCACGCATCCCTGTGTCCCTGGCACTGTGCAGGCAGCACTGGGTGAGCTTGTGGGAGATGTTGGAGGCATGTGAAGGTGTTGAAGGGAATGGCAATGTGATGGACAAACCTTCCCGGCAGCTGTCAGCAGCCCACCCGCTATCGCTCGGGATTTACATCCACATCCCCAGGCACCGCTCCAAATGTGGAAATAGAGTACGTCTTATTAACAAATGAGGGGAAGCTGCGGCTGCCAGCAGGTCACTGCCGGGGCACGGGCCTGGGTCCGGTGCCAGGTCAGGGAGAAGCAGAGTGTGGGCACTGACGTGAGTCTCTGTGAATAAATGAATAAACAGCATGTGTGTGTGTGCAAAGGGGGAACTCTGTGCCATGGGACTGCAGTGAGACTATGGTGGGACCACAGGGGCCAGGCGGTCTCAGTTTGGAGCATTTCATATCTGGTATAAACCAAGGTCAAACCCCCAATTCCTTCTGGGGATTTGGGGACAGGCTGCAACCTTGTGGGGACTCAGGGTGGGTAGCGGCCGGGTGGGAGCTCTCCCTGCTGCCTTAAGGGCTGGGAGGGGGCTCAGGCTGCAGCCCCAGCACCCCCAGCCCAGCTCTGCCCCGTGGTTGTCTCCCAGGCACACCCCATGCAAAACCCACCGTGTTCTCTGCTCCAATGCCCCTCCCCACGCAGACCCCCGCGGTGCCCAGGGAGGGTTCTGGCGCTGTCGGGGAGTGCACGGAGGGGTCCTTGTTGCACGGGGTACGTGCACAGGAGGTGCTGGTGTGCAGCCGAGTGTGTGCATGTGTGTGCATATGTGTGTGCCCCCCGTACGCGTGTGTGTGTGTGCGTGTGCGTGCGGCTGCCGTGCGCGACCGCAGCTCGGGGCACCCACCGCCCGCCCCGCGGCGGCACCGGCACCGGCACCTGCCCGGGGAGCCGGGGAGGCGGCGGGGGTAGGCATCCCGGCTGGGGGGGCCGGGAGGAGAAGGGGGGCAGCTCGGTGCGGGCACCGGCGGGGCGGGCAGACCGAGCGGAGAAGCGGGAGCGGAGCCCGGTGCACGGAGCGGGACCACAGCCCGGTGCGGGAGCGGGGACCGGGCGGGCAGAGCCCGGCGGGAGAGCCGAGACCGGAGGGAGGCAGCTCGGTGGGGTCAGAGGGACACGTGTCCCCGAGGGGGGTGTCAGCCCGGTTCGGGGAGGCGGGTGGCGTTGTGGGAGCCCAGTTTGGGAAGGGGGAAGAGCCGGGTTCGGGGAGGCAGGTGCCGGGTTCAGGGAAGGGCAGCAGCCCGGTGCGGGGACCCGGGGAAGCTCCAGTGAAGGGGGACGGTCCGGGCGGGGACCCAGCTCCAAGGGGTAGCCCGGTTCGGGTAAGAGGGATCCCAGGAGGAGCAGCCCAGTTCGGTGAACTGCGGGGTGGGGTTGGCAACCCGGTCCAGGGAGGCGGCTCTGGGGACGGGGAGCATCCCGCTCCCAGGGGTCAGCTGGGGTTTGGGCGAGCATCCCGTCTCCTGTCCGGGGGAATATCCCGTCGCGGTCCGGCCGCTCACCTCTGGCCGCGCAGGCCGGCGGCGGTTCCATGGCGTCCCCGCGGGCGGCGGAGCTGCGGAGCCCGGGCGAGGCGGCGGCGGGTGCGGGGGCCGGTGCGGGCGCGGGGGCCGGTGCCGGCGGGCCCGGGGCTGGCGCTGGCGCTGGGCTGCGCCCTGGGCGGCGCGGCGCTGGTGGTGCTGGCGGGGGCCGTTCCGCGGGCGGCGCGGCCCGACCCCGCCGTGCCGGCGCGGCAGATGGAGCGGCTGGAGGCGCGGGCAGCCCGGCTCCGCGCCCGCCTCGACCGCTGCACCGTGGCCGGGCTGGCGCTGCTGGCCCTCGGCGGGCTCCTGCTCACCGCCCTGCTGCTGGCCGCCGCCGCCGCCCGCCGCCGCGCCCGGGCCGCCCGCCGCACCGGTGGCACCTACGGCTCGGTGCGGCTGCGGCTGCGGAGGGTGTCCGCTGAAGGGACGCGGGCGCTGCTGGAGAGCCAGCTGAGCCCCCCGCCCCAGCCCCCCGAGGGGCCCGGCTCCTAGCCGTGCACGCCCCCGGGACACCCTGGTGCCGGCAGAAGCGGGGGTCCCCTTGCCTCACCCCAACACTGATACCACCTGGTGAGACATGGCCTGTGCCAGCCTTCAGCCACCATCCTTGCCTCCTTGAACACTTTTTGGATGGGGCTCCCATCTGGCAGCACTGGAGTTATGCGGCTTGGGATCCTCCACTCGCCTGGGCTGTTCCCCACCACCAGCGCTGGGACAATGTGGCCTTCAGACCTCCCATCGCCTCCCCAGCACCTTCCTGGACAGGGTCCTGCCACCAGCATCGCAGCAGCAGTACCATCAAGGCATCCATGGGATTTCCACGCCGTGGCCGGTTGCAGTCTGGGCTGGACGTGAGGTCGAGCTCCTTCCCACAGCCAGGACCTGGCTGTTCCTCTTCCCGACAGATCTCCTCAGTTTCTGCCACCAGTGACCTTTCTTAGCAATATTTCCCAGTAAAACTCTGTGGCATGGAGCTGGTGCTTGCACTGCTCTGGGCAGAAGAGGAGGAGGAGGAGGCAGCAAGCACACCCACTGCCCGTGCAGTGGGGGCCAGCCCCCCGCCACCCCCTATCCTCACACCCCACCAGCACCGTTCCGCAGAGCAGGACGAAGGCCAGGACACAGACCCACACTGTGCTGAGCATCCCACTACCACCAGCAACCCCAGAACAGCCTCCTCAAAAATCATGGTGCTCTGTACAGAGGAGAGCGGATGATTCCCAGTGCCTCGAGGCAATGTGGTGGCCCGGCAGTGCTGCCGCCAGAGTGTCCCCATGCCGACCTTTGTGCTGATCCAAGGGCCGTTGCCCATGGCAGGAAGGCAGAATTGCGTCTCGGGGATTAAACATGAAGCGTCATTAAAGCACAGTGTTCTGCGGAAAGAGAAATGGGTATGAGCAGGGTGCTGGAAAAGGGCAATAATTATCCCACTGGAAAATGCAGACCCACAAAAGGTGCTGTTTGTCATGAACTGCCACCAGTTTTCAATCCATCCTGTAAATTACCAACTTCAAACGTTCTCAGGCGGGGACGAATCCCTCCAGACAGCCCGACATAGAGGAAAGTCACTTTTAGACCCAGTATAGTTGCCTGGGTTGGGCTTTGTTCCAGGGCTTCCAGTGTCCCCTTGGATTCTGGAGAGTGTCCTCTACCCTGTGTTTTCATTTCTAAGGCTTTGCAGCTAATTCTTCCCACTGCCGTGAAGGGCCAAGTGTCCCTCTCCGTCACTACATCACCCAGCCACGCTCTGTATTTATTGTAGGATCCCAGGAAATAACCTCAAATGGCCTCACACCCACGGTTCTGGCACACAGGTACCTCTCCCTGGGATGAAACCACGCTTGGGGTGAGATGTATGGCTGTGTTCTGCTGTCTCCAGACGGGCATCACCTCTGCCCACAGCCCTGGGGTGAATGGCTTCGAGCAGAGCCTGCGGGGCCAAAGGAAGGGCCCAAGGAAGGCAGGGGGGGCAAGTGCCGTTGTGTCACCGAGGGGCTGATCCTGGCGTGGACACAGGGGTGACAATGTGGGAGGGAGGGGACAAAGGGAAAAGAAGGGGAGGAAGAGGAGAAAGGGGGAGCTCTGGGTCTTCCCAAGGTGCTGCCCTTGGCGAAGGCAGATGTCCCTCCCACAACTCAGCGCCAGTCCTGTATGTCTGGATTAGAAAATAAACCTGTTAGATGGAGAAATCATCCTCATCCCTTTTTGTTGCTTTAAAGAAGCTGGAAGGAGCGTTTCCAGGATGAAAGGCTGAGCCTGGTGGAGGTTACAGCTGCTGAGCAGCTGCTGTACATGAGCATAAGAAATACTCCCGTGGATTAGGGCATGAGGCTGCTCAGGAGTCTGTGGGAAGGGGCTGTTGTTGCTTTGTCAGCACATTGCTGGGCTGTGCCTCGAGTCCCTGCAGGACTCGGGGAAAGCCTCTACATGGAGAAAGACATATTTGCAGTGAGCAAACTGAGTTGAGGAAGGAGTGCCATTAAAGACAGATTTGGCTGGGAAGGGTTGATGCTGTGCTGCCTGGGTGGGATGAGGGTCACTGGCTCTCCAGTCCCCCAGCACCGGTGTTTTGGGGGTGTCTCTGCTTGTGCCAGGGAAGAGAAAGTGTGCAGGGCCCAGCGTGCCTTTCCCAGTTCCGCATAACGGGTCCTGCTTTGTTTTCCTGCTGGGCCACACGCATGGCTTCCCTGTACCCGGGATCCCAGGGATGGAGCACCAGCTGCAGGGTAATTAGCAGCACTGGGGGCTCTGCCATCCCATCAGGAGCGTGTGGGCAGGTGCCACGGGCTGGGCGGGCTGGCAGATGGCCTGAAGGACTCTCTGGGGATCCTGAGCTATTACCAATAATCCAGTGCCTCTCTTTAAACGTGTGCTGGAAGTGCCTCCCCGGTGCTGCCGGAGGAGGGAGGTTGTGCCTGTGCCAAGACCGCACACCCAGCCCCAGCCGCTCCTCGCAGACTCCCCATAAAATTAACACGGGGTGTGTTGGTGTGCTCCCGTGCATGTTAATGTTTCCTGCCACTTAGGGTAGCAGCAGCAGTGCCGGGGACAGGGACACATGGCTGAGGGCCTGGACTGTCCCTCCTGCTGAAGGGAGACCTGACCCTTACAGCTGTTGTGGTACGAGCCCGCAATGGGGGTGACTGCCCCCAAACCATGCACAGGGAATGCGGTCCGGGCTGGCCATCCCTACAGATGGAACAAGGAATGTGCTTGGGAACACTGGCCCTCAGAAGCCTCCTCTGCCATGCTCTGTCTCCTTTAGTGTGAGCCAAGACAGCTACACAATGTCCTGATCCCACCATCCTCTGACCCACAGAGGAGGATCCTTGCCTCCTTTTACCCATCCTTTCCAGAGAGTGGATGGCTCAGCCCTGAGAGCCTCGATGCTCAGGCACAGGCCTGCAGTGGGCACTTGTCCCCTTTGGCACCCACTCCCCTCCTCTGCCACCTGTTTCCCAGCTGCACAACACCACGGGCCCGCCGGGGCCAGGCGCTGCAGACAAAAGCCGGTTCCTCGGCCCCGCCGCAGCCTCTCCCGGCGCTGACTCGCTTTAATTAGCCCCATCAAAGCCAGCTGCGTCTCTCCCTCCTGGAAGATTGCAGAACATGATTAATTCAGGCACAGAAAGCAGCCTCTCCCCTGCAGAGAGGGGCCCCTTGATGAGGGCAAAGCTGTTTCCCCCAACACACCACGCAACAAGGCTGGGGTCTGCTGTCTCTCAACCCCAGTAGAAAGGTTTGGGGCTTTGTTCTCCTGGGACAAAGCTGTGGATGGGTTCAGGCTGTCCCAGGAGCCGGAGGGGACAAGCAGAAGTGATGGCCTCACTGATTCCTGGGTCTCTCTTCCCATCTCTCCCATGCTGCTCTGGTCATAGGCATCACCCATAGCCCATCCGTGGGTCTGCAGGTGAGGCTGCCCTTGAAAAACCACCAGGTGTGCAGCTGGGATGGCACATCCAGCAGGGTCTAGGCTTAGAACCACCCCCTGCACGTGTGGAGGTCCACACACGAGCCCATGGGAGATGCAGGGGATGCTCCAAGCTGCCCCCAGTGCCAGATTTCTCTGGCTGGCCTTCCCTGCTCCCACCTGTGCACAGCCCAGGGTGGCACACACTGTAACACAGCTTTATTAGCTGCATTTGTAGGCAAAGAGGTTTTAAAAGGAAAAAGGTCTTTGGGGAAAAGAAATAGATAGGGGGATCCCTTCCCTCTTTTTATTTCTACCAGTGCAGCTGCATGCGGCGTTCTGACAGCACTTAATGCCCTGGAGAGGCAATTACTGCAGGAGCTGGGCTGGGCTGTTCTCCACTTCATTTTCCTAATACAGTTACATCGTCTTGGAAAAGCACTGCTGGCTCAGGGGAAGGTACAAAGCGGGTTCCCAGCGTGGATCCTCTGCCTTGGGAAGGGCTCTGGGGCTTCCCGTCAAGGAGCAGGGCACCGCCCCAGCAAGCACCAACACAACACTGGTGTCAGGTTTTTATTTCAGTCTCACGAACATCCTTCCAAGAGATCAAACCACGAGAAGAAAAACAGTGTGAGCCCCTGACAGGAAAGATGAGCTGCAGCCCCAAAATCAACTGAGCTGGGCATCTGTGGGGAAGGGAGGAAGTTTCCAGAGAGAGCTCAGGAGCCTGAGGCACACAGATCTCGCCCATTCTCCCACAGCCAGACAGGCAAAGCCACACACAACAAGGCTGACAGTAGCAAAATGTGTTCTATAAACCTCTTTTGCAAAGCTCCCTCCCTCCTACCATAGCCCCACAGATGCTGCCTGTGGGGCTTCATGGACACCCCAGGAATGAAAAACACCACGGCTGCAGGGAAGAGAGGGAGCAAAGTGGGCCAGGAATTCAATCTGTGTCTCTTCTCATGCACATCAAATGCTTTGCTGGTAGTGCTCTTCCAAGGCAGCAGGCACAGCCCTATAGAAGCTGATCCCAGTTGCTGTTGGGGGGTCTGCCCG